AAATAACTGAGGGGGAAACTTTATCCTTTTTTTAAAGAACATTTTGCATAATCCACCATATTTTTACCCAGAGTGCTTTAACCTTTTTACAAGTCCACCATATATGAAAGTAAGTAGCATCAGCACAATCACATCTCCAGCATTTAGGTTGTAAATTCGGATACATAGAGGCCAGCGACATGGAATCTTAACAACGCGTGTGCATTTCCCCCGCTCTGGAATGGCTAACAAGAATATATGGCTGAAACTGTTATCAGAAGCTGCAGCCTCGGTACAGCCTTGACTGTAATTTTTATGGTTTAAAAACTCCCAAATAATGTAATGATTTTCACATTTATGTAACTGATTCTAGAACACTTCTTTTAAAAAAAGGAAATGTTTTTTCTTGAAGCAACTTTTCCCCTTACGTATCCTTTCTTCATTGGGGTATAATTTTTCAGCTTGTGCAGAAGCACTTGGGAGTAAAATGTGCGTGCAATTCAGCTGTATTTTTCTTAATTCAGTGTTTCTCAACCTTGGTGACTTTAAGAAGGGTGGACTTCATCTCCCAGAATTCCCCAGCCAGCGGAATTCTGGGAGTTGAAGTCCACCCTTCTTAAAGTCACCAAGGTTGAGAAACACTGAATTAGAAGGCGATCAAATTCTCATTTTGCAAAAACCCAAAAGGATGCTACCCTGTTTCCCTGAAAATAATACCTCCCCCCGGATAATAAGCCCAATCAGGCTTTTGAACGCATGCGCTAAAATAAGCCCTCCCCAGAAAATATTGCAACACAGCAGCAGCCATGAGGTGACCACGCTCGCCACCTCCTGTACCTCAAAATAAGACCTCCCCGAAAATAAGGCCAAGCACTTATTTCAGGGAGTCAAAAGAAAATAAGACCCTCTCTTATTTTTGGGGAAACACGGTAAATGTTCCTTGTATCCCCTCAGCCACTCAGGTAGATCAAAAGGGGCATCTCCTTGGTCACATCCTTGTAGCCACCATCTTGAATTTTTTGCCCATAGTGGACACTTGACCCGAGTCCCACTTTGACGGGGGGGGGGGAATGGCAATCCCACCTTTCTTGTCAGGTTTCCGAAAGATGCCCTAATTAATTCATGAGCCTTGAGCCAAGTTTCAAAAGAAATCCAGTCATTTATTAGGAACACCATTTCGACAATACCCTATTGCAGTCAGATCTGATCTCATTTTAATTATGGCTGAACTTTACCCCCTGTTTCCTCCCTCCCCTCAGTCTGTGTCATAAATCACATTCTCCAATGAGATGCACGCTTCAGAAGCCTGCTGTAGTAATCTGAAATCCAACTCTAGCCAAAGGTATGCGTGGAATGCGCTCCCCCACTTTCCTCACCATGGCAACTTTACGAGTTGACATTCGGCTCCCCTCACGTTCCGAAAGCGACCCGTGCGTAGCAAAAACAATTTGAGATCCCGTTTCATAGTGCAGCTCATCTGTGTTTAAGCTAAAGGATGTTCACAATGAGAAATACTAGAAAACAGGTGGACTTCAGCTCCCAGCATCCCGCAGTCAACATGGCTGCCTGGGAATTCTGGGAGTTGAAGTCCACCCTTCTTAAAGTTGCCGCGGTTGAGAAACACTGCTCTAATCGAGGTATTGTCTTTTCAAACAGCTTTGAAGTCGTCTAACAAATCGAGTCCGTTCTCTGGGAACATATACCACATTTTTGGCAAAGTCAAGTTTTCAGGTAACTGTTCAGCCTCCACCTTACCCCCATTTCTGAATTATTTTATCCTCAATCCCTGCAGGTGTCATCTACGTACGTATTTTTAATGCTTGCCCTTGTGCTCAGTGCATTGCAGAGTCTCAAAATGTGTCTCAGTTTTGGAGCTGAAGACAGCACAGGTTTGACTTAACGNGTTTGAATGGTCCTTGAGATATGCAGATATTTTAGCCATCTCAGCTAGGTTTGTTACTTTCAATGTCCATTCTTGAGTAGTAGGCAAATCTTCCTTCTTCCAGTATTGCGCCACCAAAGTCTAGCTGCAGTTATTAAATGCAAAATCAGGTTAATCTCTACAACAGTACAATCAGTAAATTATACCTAACAAAAATAACTGAGGGATCTTGATCTTCTTATCTACTAAGGTGGGCATCCCAGTTCACCTGTATTCAAAATTTTAATTAAAGATTGTATTACGCAAATAAAACTTATACAATTATATGAAACAGAAATACATTAAAAAGAATTTTAAAAAATGTAACACATCCAGAAAAGGTAAAAAGAGAAAATGAGAAAGGGAAAAGATAGCAAATAAGCCTTTCATGCCCAAGAAATATAATCAACAGAAACAAATTTAATTTAATTTAATTTAATAGATTTATAGGCCGCCCAATCCCGGACTCCAGGCACTATCTCTTAAAATACATCCAACACTCATTCTATATCTCACCCAATGTCTATAAACCTATTTCTAGTACCGCACGAGTCTCTATTAAACAGTGAACATCCAGAAAGGGTTTTTGACTGAGTGGTGGTGGTGCAGTGGTTAGAGTGCAGTTTTGCAGGCTACTGATCACCAGCTGCCAGCAGTTTGGCAGATCGAATCTCACCAGGCTAAAGGTTGACTCAGCCTTCCATCCTTCTAAGATGGGTAAAATGAGGACCCAGGTTGTTGTGGGCAATATTCTGACTCTGTAAACTGCTTAGAGAGGGCTGTAAAGCACTGTGAAATGGTATATAAATCTAAGTACTATTGCTATCAGAAATAACAATTTGTAAGGAATACAAATCATATCTCTGACACCCAATCTGAATCCTTCCTCAATATTTTAACAAATTCAGCCCTATTCCCTCTCTTCAAATAATCAAAGTTCAATCTCTCTCTCAAAAAAGTTAAACATTACCAGAAATAACAACCAATTATTTTATCTTTGGGCAAATAAACCAACACTGTATTCCTTCTTCTTTCCCAATATTCTTCCCCGATAATTTTTAAATTCCTCAAAGAAAATGCTAACATCATTTTTCCTCATATTCTCTTTATCACTTCTCTCAACGTTCTTGAAATTTTTGTTGAATCCTTTTATAATTCCACTATGCCACTATTTGTTAATCCAATATATTTAAAAAAGGATCCACATCAATCTTCAGTATTATCTGTACATTTTAAATATTCATCCAGTTTCATTTGTAATTTCATTATTACTTTCTGTTTCTTGAAGGCTATTATTTTTAAATCCAACTTTAAGTCCATTTCAGTTTTATTCATTGCGGCTTGTTTTTCTTCAATAATACTGATACTAAATCTGATTCCATTATAGAATTAAATAATTAGAAAATTTCTTGCACCTATTGGACAACTATTTATTTTAAGAATCTAGTGCCCTCTAGTGTTCAACCTTCAACATCATTTTATCAGTCTCCAAGTATAAACAAGGGACTTTTCCCAGGAGAAAATATCCTTTCAATTAACTTCAAAGTCTTAAATCAAGTCTGTCTGAGCCCTTAATTCATTTAAAACTTTCTAAAGGCAACAGTAATAGTCTTTCATCAACCTTTTGCTATATATTCTGAAAAGAAAGTTGTTACAAAGGTTTAAACTCATAATTTTCTTTTTCAATGGTTTGAAGAACTCACCAAGCAAATACAAGCAAATTTGCAGATCTGAAGGTTTTCAATCTTTAACATTCAGTAACAACAACAAAAAGGTAAACTCCAAAGTGATTAAATGAAGTTTGGTCAGATAAGTCCATCAAAGGCTACGTTGACACCTCTGAGTTTGGTGGGATTCTACAACTTCTATTTGCAAAAGACTAGAAAAATGCCATCTCTTCACAAAAAAACAAAAAGAAAGAGAAAAACATAATGAAAAACAGATGTCTTGAGTATATATGTATAATCCCTCCTTGCTCTGGAGCAGTGTTTCTCCATTCGCTGGCTGGGGAATTCTGGGAGTTGAAGTCCAGACATCTTCAAGTTGCTAAGGTTGAGAAACACTGCTCTGGAGTGAATTCTTGGTAGCCCAGATCCAGTAGACAGCTGCCATTCAGCCATAATATCTCCCATTTCCCATTCCTCCCTGAAGGCAGCACCCAATAAAACTACATTTTTTACATAAATTTCAGCACACAATTTTTGCAACTCTGTCTTGACATTCTTTATACTCAGCAGGGGCAATTTTGCTACAATCACTAATGAAGTCATCCAGAGTTTCATCTCTCATCTTACATAATCAAAATCATGCTATCATTTGAAATATGTTCAAATTTGGCTTTGATTCTCTTTGTTCACATAGCTTATTCTTCTGTTGTTGTGATTTTTCATGTTTCAATTCAACTTCAGTCTTCAATTTTCAGTCAATGAAAATGAAGCTAAAGCAAACAAAACATTCATAAGAATAAAAATGGCAAGCACATTAGCTCCCACATAAAAATTCAGGAAGGTAGGGAGAGGAAGAGGGAGAAGGAGANAAAAAAAAAATAGGAGAAAAAAAATCTGTAATTCATCCAAGTTGTTTTAGTGACGACTTAAATCCAAGCTCTTTTCAGCTTCTATTCCAAGGCTTAAACCTCTCTGGCAGATTTAGAATACAGTTTGTTTTAAGATGTATGGCTTCGTTCTCTAACATAAACTCCAGATAAAAGCAGTTGGGTGACAGCATGCTTACAACAACTCTGTGCCAAGCAAATTATTCCCTTTAAATTAGAAAAGGCAACAGAACATCACCTGCTTTTAACAGAGAGCAGTCACCTTATCAAGGCAAAGGCAGAGCCAGCAAAGAGAAGTTTGTGGATTCTCCAAAAGATGAAAGAAAATGGCTTGTTATTGGCTAATGTCTCTTCATCATCTCGCGTGTAATTAAAAATAATTTTCTGCCAGTGGCAAAGCACACGAGGAGCTGGAAATGAATACAATTCAGAATGGACTCATTTCCAATCTGCTTCTCCAGAAGTCTTTGCATGTCTACAGACAGGCTTCTTGATATCTGAAAGCTACTGAAGAATGAAAATTTTTCTTCCTCATGAAGTAAACTGCCTCACAAAGGATGCCATCCAAAAGGAGATGTTTCAAACATGCAAATGTGACACTTAGTTTGGCCTTCACCTTTACTAAATCTGTTCATTCCTACAGCTTTATTTCCATTCTGGGGTGTAGCTCCCAGAATTCTTAGCCAGAAATATTAACTACGTAGTTATTCTGGGAAGATTTGAGGAACATGAAGGACATGAATTAGAGGAAGATTGCTTTAATTCTTTCCTGTTGGAGATGTGAATTCAGCAGGAATTCTAAGTAGAGGATGTGTTCCTGAACATAAAGTAATTATTTATTAGATTTTTATCCTCCCTTTGCTATTTTATAAGTAACTTGTAAATAAGGCAGCAGACCTATCTAATACTCTCTCTCCTCTTATTTTCCCCACAACAACAATTCTGTGAGCTGAATTGGACTGAGAGAGAGTGACTAGCCCAAAGTCACCCAGCTGGCTTTCAATTTCTAAAGTGGGATTAGAATTCCCAGTCACCTGGTTTGGATGCCTAAGGTGGAACCAGAATTCACAGTCAGCTGCTTTCTAGGCCAGCATTTTAACCTCTAGACCAGACTAAAGGCTAAAGGTGAGTTAACAGAACATAAACGAATAATAAAATAGAATTGAATTGAATATGCTCCTAATGCTATTGCTAATATCTATGAACTGCACTTTTTCTTCTTCTCGATAGCAGTAATTTCTCTGTATTTTAAAATTTCACAAGATCTTGATCTTCTTNCTTACAGGATTAGCCCTGTAAAGTGGGGGGAAAAACAAAAGGAGATTTCTTCCAAGAACAGGTTCTCCGAACTGCTTAGAAAGTTAACAACCGGTTCTCCCGAATAGGTACGGACCGGCTGAATCCCACCACTGAATTTGTAACCATTTCATATGTATGAAATAGTGTTCTTAATTGTTCCCTATATACTCATAAATTGACTACTTAGCTATAATCCCTATGCAGATCGTATGGCTTAATGTCTTACTTTTCCGAATCTATGTTTACTAAAAGTGGGGTTCAAACTGCCTTCTTATCTTTGCAGACCCATTTTCTGGCCATTCAACAAAATAATAGTGATGTAGGCCAGAGAAAATTATTGTGGTGGTGGCAGAGGAATTTTAAACTGCTTGAATTTAAACTCTGCAGCCTCATTTTCCTTTTTAAGATGACTTTGTTTTATTTCATTATAAAGGGAAGCAGCTCTCCTTAGTGCACCCTAGTGTCTCTTTCACACACAATTCCTCCACAGATGCTCCCTCCATGGCAATATAATCCAAAAAGGTAGAAAGTTCTGTCCCTTGATATATAGCAATAAAACTACATAGATAATGTAAATTCTTTCCCTGTTGTTGTCTTTTTTCCCCCCTGTCTTTTACTCCATTTTAAAAATTAACTTGGGATTTTGTAAGATTTTCTAAAGTTTAATAATAAACATCAAGCTATGTTTTTGCTAGTGGTGTTTTTTTTTCCTTGCTGTTGTCTGGATACTGGTTTATCAAATGTGTATATCTTTAAATTTAGCAGGGGGGCACAAGGGCTCAGCTGTTAAAGACACTGAGTTTGTCATCTGGAAAGCTGCCAGCCCAAGTTCAAGACTCAAATGCCGTGTGATGGAGTGAGCTCCCTTTCTTTGCCCCAGCTCCTGTCCACTTAGCAGTTCAAAAGCATGCAAATGCAAGTATATAAATAGGTACCACTTCGGTGGGGAAATAACAGCATTCCATGCACCTTATCATATAGCCATACTGGCCATGTGATTACAGAAGCATTTTCAGACAACACTGAATTCCTCAGCTAAGAAACTATTGCCCCCAACAATCTGGGCCGTCATTTTACCCACCTCGGAAGGATGGGAGGCTGAGTCAACCTTGAGCCCATC